GGTGCTGTTGGGATTTGCATTTGGCTGTTAAAGGTGTAAATCTGCTTGAAAAAGGGGGGTAAACAGAGAGGTGGCAGAATGTGCAGATACTGCACAACTACTCAAAACAGCGAAGTCCAGAGCTGACTGCAAAGAGTTGCAAAGGGATCTCCCCAAACGGGGTGACTGGGCAACACAAGGGCAGGGGGAATTCAGTGTTGACAAGTGCAAAGTAATGCACAGGGCAAAGTATAATCTTAACAATAGATATCAAGTAACCGATACCATTCGAGAAAGAGATCTGGGTATCCTTGTGGATCGTTCCCTGACAACGTCTGCTCGGTGTGCAGCCGCCGTCTAAGAAGCAAACAGAATACTGGGAATCATTAGGGAAGGAAAAGATAACAGGAAGGAAAATGTCATTTTACACCCCCATCTTGAATACTGAATGCAGGTCTGGTCACCCCATCTAGAAAAGGATACACTGCATTTGGAAAAGGTACAGAAAGGGCAACAGAAATAATTGGGGGCGAGGAACAGCTTCCATATGAGAAGGAATTAACAAGACTGGGGCTTTTCAGCTTGCAGAAGAAATGACTAAAGGGTGGGGGGATATGGTAGAGATCTAGAGAATCGTGAAATGTGTGGGGAAAATAGAACCCGGAAATGTTATTCGTTCCTTCACTAACACCATAAGACGCTGACCAATTCAATGTACAGGGAGCAGTTTTAAAACCCACAAAATACATTATTTTTTCACTGTCGGATTCTGGAACTCTTTGCCAGGATCTGGTGGAAAGGCCCCAACTATAACATGTTTCCCATAAGAACGAAATATATTCCAGGAGGGTAAGTCCATTAGTGGCTACTAGCCAGAATGGGGAGGGATGGTGTCCCTTGCTTCTGTTTGGCAGACGCTGGGAATGGGTGACGGGATGCATCATGATGTTTGCCTGCTCTGTTTATTCCTTCTGAAGCACCGGGCATTGAGTTGCTATTGACTGACAGGGTACAGGGCTAGAAAGACCATGGGTCTGACCCAGTATGGACATTCGGTGTTTTTACATAGAACTGAAATGTATCTGCCCTCTCGCTGTGACCCACGAGACCCCACTGCCCTCCCAGAGCGGAGAGAGAACCCAGGAGGCCTGACGGGGTCTCTGTCTCTCCAGAGTTAGTAACAGAGTAAGAACAGACATTAAAAAGTTAAAGCTACCTAATGTCTCTTCAGGGACTTGCCACAAGATGTCAGAATACGTTAGAGAGGACTAGGTCTAATCGTTATTTAGTTTCTTTCTTTTATATGGGAATTAGATACAGGGCTTCTGTCCGCTAACTGCTCAGTGGTCTGCAAGAAAAATAGGTTTTGTGACACCTTAGTAGCCTTGGGAAGAGGTGATATATGTGGGGGAGGGGAGCGAATAGGTTTGGTCTCCCCCAGGTTGCTGTGTGGCTGGTACTCAGCAAGCTTAGTAAAGCTTCTGAAGCTGCTGACTTCAGTCTGGCCCCCCCCTGCTCTCACTCTCTTCCCCTCCCCCTCCAGGGAATTCATAGGTCTTGCTTCTCTCCCCCCCTCAAAAAAAAAAATCTGAAATGGTGCATCTATTCAGAGCCTGCCCACAGTTGGGGACTCTATTGCAAAGGTCACAGCTCAGTCTGTGGCTGAGAGCGGGGACCCTAATCTCACACACATTGCAGCCAAAACTGTGGTCCCCAATTCTCCCTCTGTAAGCCGCTAATCCCCACACTCCTCCCAGAACAGTAACCCAGGAATCCTGACTCCCAGCACTAGACTCCGTTCCTCTGCCAGAGCAACAACAGACCCCAGCAGTCCTGACTCTCAGGCTCATGCTCTAGCCACTAGACCAACTTGCTCTGCTGTTGATAGCCAGGGGACTCAGTTGCTCTATTTCATCTCAGGGGCAGCTGGTAATGTCGTTCTGTTTAGTTTTTTTGCTGGCAAAAAGCAGGTGGGCAACAGATTGAGACTGGGGGCACCAGCAGCATTCGTGAGGGGCAGGAACCCCACGGCTCGGTAACAGGGGACTGTGGGTCAGGATTTAGGGCACTAGCAGAGTGGGAGGAGGTGATGGAGAGAACCCTGGGGCTGCATTGGCAGGGGGCTGTGGGTCAAGATACAGGGGCATGGACTGAGGCAAGCCATCAATATTTGGATGTGATTTTTCTGCCTGCTGCTGCCGAGCTGAGTTCAGACATTTCCTGTCCTCTCCACGCTGAGGCGGCCGCCATCACAGGATGCTGAGCTGTTACCCCCTTCCTGCCCGAGCCCCCACTGCGATACATTTTCCAACCTCAGTGGAACCCATTTGAAATGTGCCTTTCCCACGGCCGCCCTGTGGTTAGTCAGGGGAGGGAGGCCGAGCGAGGGGGGAGTGGGTCAGAGTTTCTGGGGCAGAAGCCAGGGGACAGGATCTGAAATGGGAGGGTGCATGGGGACGCTCTGGGGAGGCCGGAAGCGTCCTGCCCTGGGGCCTGACCCAGAGCAAAAATATTAAGGCGGCAACTCCAGATGCTGGGGCTGTTGCTGATGGTGAGAACCTCAAGAAAATGACCCTTCAGCAGTGGTTGAACATAACAACCCTCTTCTCTGCATGGCCACTAGGGGGCCCCAGAGGTTCTACAGCCCAGCCTGCCCCAAACTCCCCCTCACCACCAGGGGGCCGATCTCTTGCAAGCCACCGACCAATTACAGGCCCTGGGCTCTAGGGCACCGCCCTCTAGTGGCCCAGTGGGGAGCTGCAATGACCCCTTCTCTTGCATGCTCTACTCTAGCCATGTATAACCATACTGCCCCCTTATGGTCAGTGCTGGTATTGCAATACTGAAAAACAGAAGGGAAGGGAATGCTGCATGTGAGGTTGCCTGGAGGCAAACATGCAAATGAGCAGATCTCGACAAATCACTGAATCTACTTGCACGTGGCTAATAGATTTCAGCCAGTTCACGGGTGGCAAGTGCAGGTGCAATGCGGGTCTTGCGCATGCACGGTGCGGGGCTGGCGAGTAGGTTTCGCCACCGTTGGTCAAGCCCTGCAAATGAGGTATCACATCATCTCCATAAAACCTCCAGCATCTCTACAGCCCAGAGCTTGTGTAGGTTGCTATAGAACATGGCTGATGTCATGGCTGGTAGGTGGGTGTCTCTATCTCTACAACAGTGTTAACCCATGGAACTGCCACTGTAGTGCCATTAATTCTGCACCTCTCTGTGTCTTTCCCTCTAGGGAGGTTTGAAGGCAGCAGCACCTCCTGGCTAGGGAAATCCATCATCTCAACCATGCCCGGATTTGATACTTTCCTCCCTCTCCTCCTCTTCATCTTCCCTGGGGCTTCCTCCCATTGTCAAACATACACGGGCAATGAATGCAAGAAGCACACGGCCTTTGTGCCTGGTCACAGCCTCGTTGGCGAGGGCATCGACGTGACCACGATGGAAAGGAAGGGAGCCTACCTGGTGGACAGCAGCACCTGGCAGCAACCAGACGGCACTTGCACCCTGTGCCGGAACCAGCTGCAGGGCGGGCAGTTGCAGAGGCGGGTCCGTGTCTTGTGCCGCAAGAAACTCAGCAGCTCGGTGCAGCAGTCGGGGATGGGCCTGATGCAGTCGGCGGCGTCCGCGGTGCAGAACGACTGGAAGGTGGGGCTGGACGTTCCTGTGAAGCCCAAAGTGAATGTCCAGGTGAATCTGGCCGGATCGCACTCCAAACTGGCTGATTTCGTGGTGGAGCATTCGCGGAAGGACAAATACAGTTTTGTGAGCCACGAGGTCTCCTGCAACTACTACCAGTGAGAGCCGGGCTGGGTTGGGAGGGCTCAGTTGAAACAGGGGTAACAGCAACAACACACAGTGCCAGGGATGTTCCCCTCTAGGGGGTGTTCATGGGCACCCAGGTTGTGTCATCTTTGGAGATTCCCAGAACAGGTCCAAGCAGACGTAGGCACCAACTTCCCCTCTAGCTGGGTGGTGCCTTCCACACTCATGCCTCAGGTCCCACCTGCACTCCAGCCCTTCCCGAAATCTCCCTCCCCATCTCTTCCTTCAGCCCCCATTCTTACAGTATTGCACCCCCTTCGCATTCACGTCCATGTCTGCCCCACCTTCTCCCCCCAAGTACACCCCGTCTCCACTCGTCCCCCTCCCTGCTGGAGCTCCCAGAACACCATCCAATAGCTATCTTGGCACTGTAGAAACAGCAGGAGAGCAATGGGGGAGGCAGGCTGGAGCGAGGGGAGCTTGGTTCAGCCCCCACGAAC